AATAAAAATATTAAGCTTTTAAGAAAACTTAGTATTATAAAAAGAAATATAATAGAATATATCGGAACTATTAGAGAAATATACTAAACTAATAAAAGCAGAAAAGAATCTCTTTAGAACTAGTAATAAGGTCTATTAATAACTTCTATAAGTAAAATAAGAAGCTTATCTATAGAATAAATAAATAGCTTAATAAAAATAAAAGAATCTTTTATAAAAAGAATAAATAGCTTAGCTAAAATAAAAGATTAAATAATAAAACTAAAGAGAAAATAGATAAAAAAGCTAATTATTAAAACTAAAGATAAACTAATTCAAATATATTTATATAAAAGAAATAATTAGAATAAAGATTTAGATAGTACTAGTAATAATATAATTATTATAATAAATATACTACTATAAATAATAAATGAATTAAATTAGATTAACTATTTAGAATTTCTTTTAGAGTTTTTCTAATTTAATTAGTTAGAGAATTATAAAAAGAAATTCAATTATAAGACTATATATACTATAATTATAATAATAATTCAATTAAAAGTATATCTAGAATAGAATACTTTAGATAATATAATAATAAAAAAGATTTATATTAATAATCTTCTAAAAACTTTAAAGATATAAAATAATCTAGAAAAGTATCTAGTTAGAAAGTATTTTAAATCGGATACTAAACTAGAGATTAATAACTTTAAAGCTCGAAATTACTAGAGAATTATTTCTAGTAATAAAATAAATATATTTTTAATTTCTTTAAAATAAGTATTTATATATAAAATTAATTCTAATAAATATATTACTTAATATTATTTAAAACTAGTAGTTTATAGAGATCTCTAAAAGAAAATATTACTTCTATTTATATATACTATTATATTTATAATAAAGCCTTTTTAAATAGCTAATATAATTATAGTTTATTTTAATCTAGAAATAAAGTTATTTAATATTATAAATATATTTATTAATATAGAAAGAGATTCTAATAAGCCTATAGTAATATATAAGCTACTAGATAGTTTTAAGATACTAGATTATATAGTAGAGATAAATTAAGCTTTATATAAGCTATAGAACTCTTTTATTTTATAATATAAGTATTAGATAAATACTTTTAAAAGAAATAAACTTTCTAGATTTAATAAAAAGTTTTATATTTATATAAATATAAATTATAAAGTCTTTATTATTTTCTATATAAATAACTTTTAAGTATTTTACTATAAGAATAATAAAAAGTATATTTAATTAATTATTATTTAGATTAAGATAATTTATAAGCTTTATAATATATAGAATATAAAATAGTTTCTAGAGATTTATATAATTAGAAATTAAAAGACTAAAAAGCTCTAGCTAGTTTATAATACTTATATTAAGAAAATTATTAAAAAGTTCAGAATAATAAATAGGAAGTATTCTAATATTCTATTATCTGAAATCGATTTTTAAAGATATAATAGTTAAGCTTATTTATATTAAATTAAAATATATTAAAAGAAAATTAAATTATTACTTTATACTATAATTATAATTAGACTAGATATAGCTTTTATTACTTTAGTACTCTTTTAGTTCTTAATAAACTCTATTTTAGAGTATTTTATAGCTATAAATTAAGCTTTCTAATATTTATTTAAAATCCGGTTTTTAGTAATTTAGTATAATAGAAAATATAAAGAGATATAGTTATAGATTATATTTAATACTTTATATATAGATAATCTAAATATATAATAATTAAACTATAGATATATAATCTCTTTATTTAAATATTTAATATTATAGAAAGTTATTTAATAGAGCTTTATAACTACTTTTTTAACTGAATTAGAAATATATAAAGTTATCTATATAGTAAAAGAAATTATAGCTTTCTAGAAACTATTTAGAAATCTATATTTAGATTTTAGAGAGTTTTAAACTATATTCTATAATAATAAATAAACTATTTAATTAATTATTAGAAAGAATAAAAGAATTACTATAAAGCTTTATTATATTAATATCTAGAATATATAGCTATATTAAAAATATAATAAAAATATATTTCAAGTTATATATCTTTAAATAAATAATATATTTATAAATAGATTTATAAAAAATCTATTCTAATTCAAATTCGAGAACTTTAGAACTTTATTAAATCTTTAGAATATTAGAATAAAAATAAAAATAATTAAATAATATAAAAAGAGGCTTTTATTTATATTTTTTATTTATAAAATCTATTAAAATAATAGAGCTTAAAAACTAATAATAAGAGATTTAAAGGCATTCTATTATAGTATTAATAAGCTTATATAGAAAGCCCTTTATTTAATTAAACTATTTTTTTATTTCTATTAATAGTTTCTTAAACCTTAATAAAAAAGCTTTTATTACTATTCTTTTTATTAGATTCGGTAATTTTAAATATAATATAGATAGAGTATCTAAAAATAAATAAATACTTTAAAATAGTCAGAATCTATAAAAGAGAATTAAAAAAAGAAAGCTTATAGTATTTTTAGTAATTAGAAGTTCTATAAGAAAAAGCTATATAATAGAAATATAAGAGATTAAAATAGCTAAATAAAAATAACTAAAAGTATATTTCTAGTAATAAGAACTTTAGTTAATAATATTATAATAATAATTATTACTCTTACCCTTTAAAATAGAAGAGATTATATTAAGTTAAAATAAGCTTTAGAATAGTATAGAGAATTTATAATAACCTATATAAGAAATTTCTTTAAAACTAATATAAATAGAATAAGAAATATAAAGCTTTAATATAAACTTCTTTATTTTTAGTAAAGAAATACTAGAAGTATTAGAAGATATTATAGGAATCTAAACCTTAATATTCTATTAAAAATAAACTTTATATTAATAGTTAAGAACTATATTTATAGTAGACTTATAAGCTATTTAATACTATTTAAAGTTAGTAAAGAATAAAATAAGAATAAATTTTAAGTTAAAAATACTATAGATTTATAAGCTGAAATCGACTTAATAGTAGTATAAGAAGAAATAGAAGCTATATTTATAATAATTAAAAGTTTAGAAAGAGATTTCTAGAAAGGTATTAAAAAAGAGTATTTAATTAGATACTTTAGAATTAGTAAAAAGAGAAAGTTTATATAAGAATCTTCTGAAATTTAGTAATCTGAGAAAATAATATATATTAAATCTATTTAAATTAGAATATTAATATAGCTCTATAAAACTTATATATTAGACAAATTTTACTATTTTAAAACTTTCTAATTAAATAAAATAGATAGAATATAATATTATACTTTTCTAAAAAGTATATTATAATAAGAATTACTATATTAGAACTAGTATAATTACTCTATTTAGTTAAAATCTATATATTTACTTTTTAAAGCTTTATATTTTATTTAAACTCTTTTCTAATTAGTTTAATTAACTCTTTTATTATTTAATATAATTCTCTATTCTATAATCTTTATATATATTATATATATTATTAACTAATATAATATTCTAATTAGTTTATATAAATTAAATAAATTATAAATAAATTATAAAAAAGTAATATATTTAATTTTCAAGTATATTAATTTTATAATATATTCTCTTATTTTTAAGGTACTAAATTAGAGTATTATTTATAAAGAGTTTATATCTTTATTTTTTTTTAAAAGAGGTATTTAATTTATATATATTATATAATTAAAGTAAAGTAATAGTTATATTATATAAAGTTATAATTACTTAATTTAGCTTAATATCTAGTAATATTAGACTAAATTACCTAAAGAAATAAATTATATTATTTATATTATATAGAGCTTTAGCTTAATTAATTTCTCTTTAGGCTAGCTTATAGTAGATAGAATAAGAGCTTATAAACTAACTAGAGAAGTAATTATATATTCTATATTAAATACTAGGCCTATAATAGAGCTTTTATTCTATATTTATATATTATATAGCTATTACTAAGAACTAATAGTCTATTTTCAGGTAATTACTTATTATTTATAGGCCTATAAATAGTTTTATAAGTAGTTTTCAGGTAATAGAAGTTTATATTAGTTATAACTATAGAATATCTTTATTCTAAGGCTATTATGAATTTTATTAAACTATCTAATATAGAAGGCATAGTAGTATTATATAGCCTAGGCTTGAATTAAAGTATATAGCTCTTCTTTAAAGTTATATATAGCTTCTAGGGGCAGAGGCATCAAGGGGGGGCCTTCTGCTAGTGAGGGTTCTGCTAGTGCGGGCTCTGGGGGTAGTGACAGTGAGAGCTGGAAGTCCATTAGTACGTCCATTTTTGCAATGCAGCTGCGCCAGGCGTACATCAATTGCAGGCAAAATTACAGTGCAGGTTAATGCAGACACAGCGCGCGTCGCATTTCGGTGGTGGGGGGTGGAAAATCGCGCTTAGTCAGCTCTGCATTGACACTGTAGTGTCAACGTATTAGAACCCCTCCTGAGCCATTCCACTCTAACTGGACCTCAATCCTTCATCTTCTCAATCACTGTCGCCAGCAACAAGCTTCACCTTGATTGCACGATCCACATATTTATCCGTTCACTGTCTCAAACCATTCTCCTGCACCTTCGTCTCTCCAACATGAAGAAGGACTTTCTCTGTCGACTCTGTGGACTGTGGACTTGGCTTTGATTGTCCAGATGGATTTTCGTTTTCAAGACTCGTTTTGAAGGAAGCTCTTTCGTCACCTATGAATCATCAGGTATCTTCGAAAAGAAAGGGAAAGTGGGATTACCTGCTTGGTGCGGACCGTTTTCTCTGCTTCGTTGACCCTGGTATGGTTTCCATCTTCAATCCTTATTTCAATGCTGCCTGGTCCAAGGAAGCGATTTGCATTCTCCAGCTCCATATTTCGCCGCGGGTGGCTCATCGAACGATCGTTTCAAATTAAATGAAATTGCCATGGTAGTTGCTGCATTGTCAGCTTTGGTTCCGCTTCAACCCCGATGTGCTGCTTCATACCCCCTGGCAAATATGCCATATCTTCAAGTATATCCGTCCTCCTGACTCGTGTATATTTCTGACTTAGTTTCGCTTGTATCTAGCAAACTACTTACGCCTATCACCAGCGCGAAGGTGTCAGAATATCGATAGGCTCCCCTGACGTCAAAGTCAAGGGGAGGACGTAGTTAAACTCCACGCCCAAGAGTGTACACAGCCTTTCAATGACGATCAGTTGGAGGATGTGGATTGCTAGCTCCACCACCTCCGGTTGCAGATCCTGCGCCATTCGCAGGTCCTGCATTAGCATTGTTACCAGCTCCCGAGTTCGGATTGCCAGCACTCCTATCCCCACGTCCGCCTCTACCTGGAAATTCGGGAAGTATTCGATGGTTACCAGCTCCCGAGTTCGGGTTGCCAGCACTCCTATTCCCACGGCCTCTACCTGGAAATTCTGAAAGGAATACTCCGCCTCTATTTCCTGATGATCGCTGGGGCTCCAAAGGTGGAGATGCACTGCGACGTTGTGAAGGTTCGACCTGTTGGCGAGAATCTCTAGAACCAAGAGGAGATCTTTCCCTGCGGAAATCTGAACGCTCGCTCGAGCCACCTTTCCCCATGAAAGCAAGGAATGCGTTACGAGCATCGGGTGTCATGCTTGTATCCAACATCAACTTCAAGCTGGCGGCTTCGATGTTATTTGCGGCCTTCTGTTTGTCGGCCTCCAGGGCAGCGTTTCGTTGTCGCACGATGTAGTCCACCGTTTCCCCTATATCATATTGAGGTTTTCGAGCAGTCTCAAATTGTGGTTGGTCGAGTTGCTGACCCTGCGGAAGATGACCAGAAGCCTTCTTATTCTGACCTGGGTTGGGGAGTACAGGGCCATGCGGAAAGTGGCCATGAACCTTCTCCTCATGCCGAGATGGGTTGGGGAGTACAGGGCCATGCGGAAAGTAGCCACAAACGTCCGAATCTTCTTGGGATCCTGCACCACCAATGGGTGTAGCATTTGCTGATCCTGCCAGAGGAAAAAAGTTGCCAGTGTCACCTAGCCCAAAGTCTGTATGGCCTTGTGGATCCTCAGTTCGACCAAGTCCTTGAGGAGCACTGTGGAAGCCTCTACCACGTCCCCCTCTGTGGGAGACATTGGACTGTAAGACAAAGCGATCTCGATCAGACAAGGTTTCCTGCTGCAACAAAGTTGACAGATGCGAATCGATAGCACTGCGGCCAGGCGCAGGTGTGCCCGCACGCGGTGTGCAGTTACCAGACCTTGTGCCATCTACAACGGACTCCACGTCTTCGTAATCAGACCACACGCCAGGCTCGTTCGAATCTGGCGGTTGCATACTGCTGCTCACATCACCAAGGACGGCAGGAACAACCCCTCTCTCTTCGTTGCCGGATCTGTCACCAAGGGCAATGTCTCCGCGATAGAGCACAAGAGCACCGTCGGTCCCGTCATCTTCTTCTTCCCTGTCAGGCATCTCTCCACTGTTGCCTTGAGCCACAACTAACTGCATCTCCGCCGTGGAGATTCTGTGCTGTTGCTCCGCAGTATCATCTCGTGGCGCCAAGGCCCTCGAAGAATCTTCTGCTTCACTCCCGAAATCTAAAGTATGATTGGAAGGTTTGCGATCTTCTATTGTAAACGCGAAGCTTGCCTCGAAAGGTCAGTTCCGTAAGTGATATTATTTGTTATTATGAGGAAGAAACTTTATTGTTGCGCGAGGCTGGCGAGGATAATACACTCTAGCGTCGCCCCTCCTGGATCACATGACTACCACCTTCTCGACTTCGAAAGCCTCTCAGGTATCTAGGCTTGGGACCACAGAAGTTTTCATGAACGGCAAGTGTCATCTAGACCTCTATTTCATATCATAGCTAGGCTGCCTCCTCACTGCTGTCAATCTTCCTATGTCTTCAAGTCTGTCATGTTCGATGCTTTGACCCTCCTGCTTCCCATGTGAAGACAGATACTATCCAATCTCTGTCTTCAACCATACGCTCGGCAAACACAGAACGAGGTCTTCGGTTTCGCTCGACTGAAAGAAAACAGCCGTCTTGAGACATCTCGTTCAGGAGGTCGTCAATCGTCCCATTCTGCTCGTGCATGATTCTTGGTAGTTAGTTTCTGCTTTCTCCAGGGCATGAAGGGATAAGTACAATCCAACATGGCTTGTTATATCTGTATATGTTCTCCAAACAAATCCACAAGTGCCGTCAACATCGTGGCCAATTTGCTGGACAAGAAATTCTATCATTACAGAACAAGGCTCGCGTCAAAGTCCAAGAATGTAATTGCTCCCAAGAATACATGGCTGGATTGAAACGACTCATCTTTACGCACCTCGACCCAGCATTCGTAACTGCTCGTAGAAGTTGTATCCGCATTCTTTCAGTCTCTTGATCTCTTGTTTATTGACAGATGCCGGATATTTCTAATGCGGAATGTGATGTGTGAATTTGGGAGGAGATGGGATGTAGTCCGAACAGAGTTTCATGCAACGGCGGCTAAGTTACTGGCGGACTGAGCTACATCTAGCAGGGATATTTCACGTAATCACATCTATCATCACCTCTACAGTTTGACTCTTCTCTGAGTAGCCGACAGGCATCAATGATGCCGCATCATTTGCGACCACAAGACACAATAGACAGAATTTGAAGGTTTATCTGTGATCATAATTGTGATTCAACTCCAGCATCACATCATGCTATACTTCTTAGCCTTAATTTCGTGTCCACAACAACATCTTCTCGCCTAGCAAACACAACTTTCAGCCACTCGCAACCAAAATACCAAGAAGGATCCAATATTTCTACAGTCGAGCTGAATCAGAGCGGTCATCCAGAATGCTAATCTGCCGCACACGATCGGGGTTTCACCGAAAACCAATTGTCAGGTCACCAAACAACAATTCTAAGTCAGTCACGGGCAACAAACTCTTCTACCCTATCTGACGTTCTGTAAAGTGATTAAAAGATCTGCCGGAGGTATACAACATTTTGAGATGCAGCAAAATTCATTAGCGTTCTATTAAGAGAAGGGCGGCTCGAGTTGCTACTCAATGTTCAAGATCGCGATGCATCACGACATTTACCATCGATTCGAGAAGACCACCACAACACCACGAAACTCCCAAACATGAAGCAAATTAAATGGAGGATAGATTAGTATCTTAAGGTGTTACATTTCAATTTGCCGAACAATTCTTCAGCGTTCCGTTGAGAGAAGGGCTGCTCGAGTTGTGTTCCAATGTTCAAGAATTGTCGTATCTTCTCATGTTCGACATTTTGACGACTAGGTACGTGGAGGCTCCTTCATCGCCAGAATTGTGGGAAGATTCTAATGTCTCTGACATTATCTCTGTAACACACTCGATCGCAATCGAAAAGGCACCCCTTGACGACCGACTGCTCCCCGGCGACGTACCTGTATCCATACCTTTCTTTAGCACGAAGAGTGAAATCCAAGACCAATAATGACGGGCGAGGAGACGAGCTTAAAGCTTCTTTAGAGAGATGGAGGGTATCAGACAAGAGAGATGGGATTGAAAGCCGAAGTGCCAGGTCCTGGTGGTCCAACATACCACAAACAAGGTGCAGGACACTATCGTCAGCAATAATGCTGGGAGATATACCATCGGTAATCACAAGCAAGACGTGAGAGCGCCTCTGGAACAGAGAAGGATCTCAACTACACTACATCACCGAAAAGTCGGAGAGGAAGGTTTGATCTGCGATCGGCGAAAGGTTCACTCCACAACAAGCAAGAAAAAGGATTCGATCGTCAGCAAGAACATTGGCAGATATATCATCGACAACCACAAGCATTATCAACCCGTCTCGACTACTCGCTAATTATCAATTTCCCAGAAATGAAGATATTCTCTATCATCTGACTGCATCGCAGTATTAATTCTTCGCACATTCTCGCCTCATATCATGCATGTTGATCGAAACAAGTGCATGCCTCTAGATTTTCCATATCTCATAGTTATGGCGGCATGGTTGATTTGTTGTCAAGTCCTACTCGCTCAGTTTCTTACTTTGCTTAAACAATTATTCAAAGCATATTTATCCACCCAGCCGAGTCACATATGGGTTGTACCTCGAATTGGAATCCACTTGATGAGTTCTGAGTTGGAAAGCCCCAGCATGTACCTGGTCCTGGGGAATCGATGGTATTCCACCAACAAACCGAATTACTAATTCGGAGTTCAAAAGTCAGCGATGGGTTTCTCACAATGAAAATCACTACAGGAAAGTTTTTGATAATATGGTAGAGCGAATGTGTATCCTGGGAGGAGGGGCAGACGAGAGGAACTTAACATACCAGCCAGTTGAGTTGTTGTGGAAGTCATACTCGGCGCAGCGGTCGATGCAAGTGTTCAAGTCATTTGTAGGAGTGCTGACGACGTTGGCTCCGATAGTAACAAGAACCGTGTTGCAGAACTTGCGAAATGAATAGACCTGTGGACCTAGAGTCACATCATATAACGTGCCGTTTGACGATGGGCAGTCTCGAGATAATGTCTGAGATGGACCTATTACCTCCGTGGTCGTGACCGTAATTGGCTTTGAACTGGTTGGAGTAGGAGTGTTGTTCGTATTTGAGGTAGAGGATGACGAGGCGGAGGTGACTGTATCATTCGATGGCTGGCCTGTTGTCGTAGAAGAACTGTCCTTGGACTTCTGAGATCGGGCAGCCATCGACCCGCCAATGCCACCGCCGACTGCTGCGCCTATGACCACGACAGCCGTGATTATCGAGAACAAGATCCAAAAGCTCCGTGCTTTCAGACCACAGATACGGTTCTTATGAACCTTCGAGCTGTACCCATCATCAGGATGGGGTGGTGTTGGGTCCTGCTCGTCGATATACTGCAAACCTGCCTCCGGAACCACTTCAGGAGCAGAGTACCAAGAGTCTGGTGTGGAGTTCATCCCAGCGGCTTAACCCAAGTATGGTAAGGCTGGACTTTCGTTCGCGTATGTAAACGAATAAACGGTTGAGAGCAACAGAGAGTAAAATTTGGAGAACTGTATGGACGTATATTTGGAGGATGGGACGAGATAAAGTCTGCCAGCAGATGATCATATATGGAAATTGAGGCACAGTTGTCTTTAAGCTTCCTGCAGTTGGGTTTTAGGTATCACAGGCATCACTGGCCTATCCGTTCCGCTGCCGCCAGGGACGAATTTCCGGGGCCGGAATAACTATTATTCCGGAGGAACACCAAAACTACGCTTTGATATTTACATGTAAATAAACCACCAAATTGATTAATTGCACCACAACTACGATGCCGGACACTACTGTGTTCGATTCCACTAATAAAGGGACCCTTCGGCCTAATGAGGATCCACTGCAAAAGCAGGGGAGTGCTTTTAAGCCTATGCAATTACCCCAATTCGGCTGGGAAATCACCTTACCTGAAGATGTCTCTCCAGATGATCCTATTACTTTATTTACTATGTATTATACCCCTGAAATCATCGATTTAATAGTCAAGAAGACAAACGATTATATACGAAAACCTCAAGACGAATCCTGCCCTTATATACAAGCAAACGAATAGTATCTAACATATCATAGAGAGATTTATATCTACCTTACAATTCGGATATATATGAGCTTATATATGGATAATGAGATTATGGACTATTGGAATACAAAGGATATAATGCCTGAGTATCCAATTACGAAGTATTTAAGTAGGAATCGGTTTCAGGAGCTCTATATACGTATGCGATTCCATAGAAATCAAGAACAAGGCCCGTACGAGAAGGTAACCTTTATTTTCCTGTCCATTTTACCTGAAACTAGCTAATAAATTACCGAGCAGGTTAAAGCCTTAAGTATATATATTCAAGCGATTAATTTGAGCGTTTGGAAGCCTGGACGGGACTTGGCAGTGGACGAGATAATCGTACGATTTGAAGGTCGATTAAAGGAAACGACTACTGTTCCAAATAAGCCTATACCTACTGGATATAAGGTTTGGGGGGCAGCCCAGAGGGGATTCTTACTCGTATAGAACTGGCATATTCCTGGACAAAAAAATGGGCCTTTAGGAGTATGTACTCCAAGGGAGCTTGGTAGGACGATTAAGGCTGGAAATGGGGGAAATAAGATACAAGCAGTAGTTCTGCACCTGATTAAAAGGTTGCCCAAGCCTCCTAAGGGATCTGGCTACCACGTTTACCTTGATAATCTCTTTATTTCTACTCGCTTTATCCAATATACTCGTTCCCAGGGAGTTGTAATTACTGGGACTTATAGGACCACTAGTAGGGTTATTAAGAAGCTTCTTGACCTTTAGAAATCAGACAAAAAGGATATAATTCCTTAGGGAAAGACCTATTCTATATATACGTCTAATAGAGAGGTATATTATATTGGGTAGAAAGATCAAGCCTTTGTTTTAATAATGTCTTCCTTTATATCAGGTAATAAGCGAGTTGAGAGGCTAAGGAAAAGGCCTAAGGAGACTTCTTCTAAAGCAAAGACTATACGAAAGCCCTTTGGTAAAGAGCCTGTCAAAGTACTCTCGATTCCTGCAATTGCGGACGGATATAATTATTATATAGGAGCAGTTAACGAGTTTGATTACTTGACTGCTCAGAATTCTGGTTTACGGTACGTAGAACGTAGAGGGCACCAAGCACTTGAGCACTGGCTACTTTATACGGTTCTAATTAACTGCTATTTACTTGCTTTATACAGTAATATTCCAGAGCCTCGGCAAGTAAGCTTTAGAAGTCAATAGGACTTCAGAATACAGCTAGTTAGTACTTTACTAGCTAAAGCCCAGGACAGTGAGATCTGCCCAAAGAGAAGAATATTACAGATTAGCCAGGGAGCTAGTAAGGTGCCTGTGAGAAAGCACGAGCAAATAAAGCTTAGTAAAATTGGGAAGTGTATATGTTATAAGGGACTGAGATATGGGGATCGGCCACAAAAACGAGTTGCACTAGCTCAAATTGCAGCTAATCAGGGGCGAGAGAGCTATAGGAGAGATAGCTTCTATGGATATAAACAGTGTGATGTTCGCTTATGTAAAAATCGTGGGTGTTTTGATGTATTTCATAGAGAGAGGTAGAATTGAAGCGATTGAGGGGGAAATCCAGCCCTCTGATTGGCCAGAATTAAGCGAAAACCAGTGTGCACGGACCAATTCGTCCCTGGCGGCAGCGGAACGGATAGATTCTTGTTGGCATATCGAAGCAACAACGGAAGCCTTTCCGGATTAGCGAAGTTTCACTGCCCTGTAGATTCCATTCTGTGGTCGGCAAGCCGAAGCGACGGAAGCCAATTAAATTCCCGCGATTAGTGCTGTACAGCCTATAAAGGCTTAGGTGGGCTTCAGGGCGGCTCGCTTACCAAGGTGTTGCGGCGCAATGCAATGATCTTTCTATTCCTGTACTGTAGCTTTCAAACACCAACATCTCTTTGGATTCCAACACCACCACCATTTCCACATGTCCGCAGAACACCAGCTATTTGGAACTCGTTTCCATGAAAACCTCACTGGGACTGTAACTGTGACTGTCGAGCTTCAACCTTCAAAGTCACCATGATGGCAGGTCCCATACGCCTGAACCGCAAGTACAGCATCCTCAGCTCCGCCATTTGTTTGGGTCTCGTCGTCGTGGTGTACTACATGTACTGCGTGGGCGAGCTGCCAAAGTTCTTTTCGGGCAACTTCAATGAAGGAAGCCTTCGACAATCCAAACCATTGACAGAGACGAAAGATGACGAGATTGCCCTCAAATCGCCAAAGCCCCCAGCTGCTACTGCGAGTCTTCCGGTAGATTATTCGCCTTTAACATTCAGCGAAAGCCAGCAGAAATGCGAGCTATTCTTCACGCCGGCCTATCTCAAGCACATCGCGACCCATCAACTACCATACTGCGAATCGGAGTCGCTAAGCGCATTTCAGTGCTTTACAGCACCACGACTTACGATACCGATGACGGGAGGGTGGGGACAGACCGACCCTCTGTGCATCGCCCAAGGCGTGTCTTTTCGTCCGGAGCAGCAGACCGGCTCAGAGCAGGAATTTGGCATCCAATGCAAACTTCGGGATCTAGCAGCGGAGCGAGCCAACTCCTCAGATGTTGCAACTGAGCTCGAAGGCTTCCGTGACCGGCCTACAGACTGGGGATGGTATTGGGGTGATACAGGCGTGGGTGCTTCGTTGAAGACCTGGAAATTTGAAAACAGCGGGGACATCGAAGCCTGTACACGGGAGAAGAGTGATAGCAAGGAGTGGGTGATGCTTATGCGACGGGATAGCACCGATACACACAACCTATGGCACAAGTTGATGGAGATTTTGCAAGTACGTTTTCGGAGCTATTCTTTCCCTTGCTTTTTTTCATCCTATTTCATTCCCCTCCACAAATGCCTGCGCAACGAATCTAACGATCACGTTGTATTAGGCGCGGCATAGTTTGGATGCAGTACGGATCGCTATCAACCCTGCCACCGGAACACCTTGGCTGTCCGACGAAGATGCCGCACATGTTCAACTAGTCTTTGACGATGATCGGGAGGAGCTACTGGAACCACTCTGGGAGATTGTTACTGGGAAAAAGCCCATCCGCAAGAGCTCCTGGGAGCGAGCAGCTTGCTTTGGCAATGTGATCCTTCCGCTTCCTGGATGTGGCAGTCCTTTTTGGTCTAACCTACTGGACACTGGCTATCCTGAGACCTGCCCCTCGCAGACGCTTTTGACGACATACGTCCACCGCATCTTTGAATTCTACGGCGTGGTCCAGCGCCCCGTCACCGAGATTCACAAACATCCGACTATTACAATCGTGGAGCGAAAAGAGAATAGGAAGTTTGTCGCACTCGACCGTTGGGTGAAAAGTCTGAAGGAACGCTACCCACAGTCTCCTATCAATGTGGTCGATTTCGCCAGTATTACAATTCAAGAGCAGATCAAACTTGCCCAGTCGACTGACATCCTCGTTGGCCATCACGGCGCTGCCATGACGCACATCATTTTCATGGCACCTGGAGCGACGGCTGTTGAGATTCTGCCTCGACATTTCGACCAGCATGGCTTCCGCTCTGCAGCTGCGATGCGTGGAGTTAATTATATCGCGGGCAGATGCATGCATAAAGAGGAGTATGAGAATGCTGTGAATGGCACACCGTTCCCGCAAGACTGGACACCTCCCACGCCCCAGGGATTCAATCATTGGCAGAATGAGGAGTGGACATATTTGACGGATGAGGATTTTCTGGGCTTGGTCGATGCTGCGGTCAGGAGTCAGATGAACAAACTTGGAAGCAGCGACTCGTAAAAATACACGGTTCGGATATCATTGCATGAGCAATCAATGTAGTTACAGCTGTAACACCCTAGGACTTGTGAAGCAGCACATTTATTTGTTCATTCGCTTCGAGAGCAGGGCACCAAAAGTGGTAGCCGAGCTTGGAAAAGGAGGTTGAATCACGTGATATGAATCATGAAATGTTGCACTTCCCTTTATCCACTACATGAGACTTTATCGGGCATCTTCCTTCATTACTCAGTATCTCCTTCCATGCAACGCAATATCGTTAGCTCTGAGTATGCATGAAATGAGCAGGAGCTGATCCCTAGTCTCCAACTCCAACTTCTCCAAGACCTTGATTTCCTCGATTCACTGCATATACGAAGTACGTGGCAGTGCCCACAGCACTGGTATCGCTGCATTGTCTGCTTCAGCTGTTTAAGACCAGGGACATTGGCATAGACAGGCTACGCCATTTGACGACAAGGGAATAAGAGGTAGAGACGCTGTGCGTACGCAACGAAGGATGCAAAACGGTGTGTGCAGCATAAACAAGAACTCAGATGATCATCCAGCATTGAGCAGTTGGTGGATGAGCTAGTGCAACAGGATGCCCACCAATATACTTACCTGTAATAGACCCACTGCAAAGCACGCCCTCCCTCCTTCAAAACACGCGAACAACAGATCTCCGAGGTTCATTGGATCAAGCTTCCTATCGATAACTCACTCAGGTGCTAGGAAGGTAGCAAGAGTCCGAGGGGCAGCGGAGCTGAAGAAAGTATCTTCCTTCGATCGTCGACCACCGATCCCGTGTTTGGAAGGTGAATGACTCGGGAAAGACGTTCTTTCTTCTACAAACGAGACGAGACTCAGAGACGATCATCATTGGAGTATCGAGTGGCAAGTCTGCCTCGTTTGGGGGGAAGTCGTGAGATACCGAACAATCAAGCGTTCGATGTGCATTTCGGCGGCATAGAGGATCGAAATGCATCTCGCATCCAGTATCCTTTTCCGTTATCCGGTCTCGCATCCATGAACCCCCACCCATCAGCCCTCGTATCAAACATCATTTATGTGACGAAATACATCCATGGACGAGAACCAACACTCCTGCGCCTCTTAGTCCATGATAACACATTCTCCCTCGAGGCGCTTGGATGCCTGGGACCATGCATCTTCCCATCAAGCAGCATGTCTGCGCGGCGATCAGGCATTGGATATGAACCACGTTTGAGATGCCTTGAGAAGCTGGGCCACACCTGCCTAGGATTCAGCTGAGAGCAGGGAGACACGACACGACATCTTAATAAGACCCCACTAGCCAAGACGCCTGAGTATATAATGTCAGGCAATCTCCCGCCATTAACCCAACCATCCTCTTCAGTTCAAACACAACTTTTGCCCTCTTGTACAGAATATACGCAATGGACGTGATCGAGTCACTTGCTAAATCTTGGTTAGACATCGCTCAGATGGATATCCATCAAGAATCATCAAGACCCTCGTGGCAGAACGGCCCCATCCAAAATACTAAGGTGATCGAAGACCCTATCTCCCTATTTAGACAATTTGTCTCCGCGGTATCTTCAGACACTTTGAAAGACATCCGACCTCGATCAGAGGTGAGTTGAAGGCCATTATGCTAGTTGGCTAGGAAAGCTTATTGTTAATCACAGTTTTCAACATTTGTACGGGATTTGTGCGTAAAGGCACCGTCCGTGGCGCAATATCTCGTCCAAGAAATCCTCAACCACTCAAGAGACGATTCCCAACCTGAAGTTCAAGGCTCCAAAGAATTCGAGACAAGCACTACCACTAAACAGTCATCAAAAAGGAGAAAGCAATCAGACCGCTCCTACCGACCTCCTAAGTCCTCTCGAACGCAGCCGGAGATTCCCAGAGACAGGGCTAAAGATTCAAACGAAGCTTCCAGCATCAATTCCCAAGTCGGTGACGACACCAGTGTGTCAAAGAACTACTCATGCTACTCATACTACTCATGAATATTCATGAGTAGCGTGAGTAGAATATGAGTAGCGTAATGTCCTGAAAATTTGAGTAGAGTAGAGTATATACTCATGAGTAGTATAAGTAGTAATGAGTAGCCGTTACGTAACAATAATAAACTAAGATTTATTTAATAATAATTAAATAATAAAGATATTTATTAAGTAGCCTCAGTAAAGGTAAGCTAGGGTTTATGTAAGACTAACTAAATATTAATTTTCTATAATAATAAACTAGTTATACTTCTTAGAATCTTGATTTCCCCCTGACCTTTGGCTCGCTTACTAAGCAATGCCATTGCCTAATTGGATAGAAACTTGATGCTAGATGGGAGGCTTACCTGATTAGGCTAGCCTGTCACGTGTAATTGTTACGTGGGCACCTACTCACACTACTTATACTACTTATAAGTAGCTTGAGTAGAGTATAAGTAGGACCCACTACTCTATTCTATTATCTAGAAAGCAAATTGAACTATAATATAGTTATTATATTTATAGATTATTTATTTAAATATCTAATTATAATTCTAGTATAAGATATAATTATAGCTAAATAGCTAGTATTTCTGTTTTTACTTTATATAGTATATTAAGTAGATATTTCAGAAATAATTATATTAGATTAGAAACTCTAATTTATATCCGATTTTTAGAGCAAATTCTATATAAGAATTAGTATAAAGTTTAAGCTCTTTATAGCTAATTATCTCTAAATAAACAGATAAATAGAAATTATTAATTAGTACTTTAATTAGAGATTATATTTATATATTAACTATTACTAGAATAACTAGAATAAATAGATTACTATAATTAATTATTAATAAGCTTTCTTTTAGTATAAAACTATTAGCTAGTTCTTATTTATAACTGAAAAAGGCTATAAACCTTATATTTCTCTAGACTAGAACTCCTCTATTAAAGCTAGCTTATCTAAGAAGAAGCTAAATAGAGATAAAGCTAAAATATTAGTAAATTAATTATATAAATTATAGTAATTTATTTAAAGTTATATAAAATAAAACAGAAATAATATATAATATAAGCTAATAAATACTACTATCTAATTAATTTCAAAGTCGGAAATAAGATATAGATTACTATAAAGTACTAGAAATCTGATTATCCGAGCCGGAAGCTAGAGAACTAAATAGAAGGCCTGTTTGAGATTCTAGAATAGTATAACTATTTATTTCTTCTAAGACTACTAGAAACTATAAAGATATATTTAGTTTTTTATATAGAGAAGTTATAAAAAAACCTCTAGAATTCTTTACTAGATTAAGCAAATCCGGAACTGCTTCTATTAATACTAGAGAATAGTAAATAAGAGTATAGTATTAAGTAGATTATTATAGTTAAGCTAGTAAGAAATAAGCTAAAGTATAGAATTTATTAGATTAGTTAAAATAAGAATCTAGTATAATATATAGCTTTAATATTAAGTAATAGTCTTCTGATTTTATAGAGTTTCTATAATAATAATATTAATATACTAGAACCTCTATAAAACCTATAATATTAGCTAGACTATATAAAAAACAATATTTATTTAGAATTATATAGAAATAATAATAAATTCTTCTAAGTTATATAGTAAAGACTCTAGCTTTTTATATATAATATTTATATTCGAGATACTAGTTTATTTTAGAAAAGAAAATAATACGAAATTAGATAGATTAATAGCTTTTATAAAGCTCGGAGATAAGCTTATTCCAAATAGAGAAGTAATATTATAATTTAGCTTTTGACCTTATTAGCTAATATAGTTAGTTAATATAGTTATTTATATTCCGTTATCTATATTCTATTACTTTCTAGATATATATAATATAGCTGCTTTACTAGAAAAATAGGCTTGAAATATACTAGAGATATTTAGAAAGCTAAGCTCTTTCGGAACTAGTATATTATAAAGTATATATATTCTTTTATAGCCTCCTATATTCTAGTTTTCTCTTTTTTAGCTTTGAATTGTCTTTATAAGAGACCTTCTATTCTATTTTCCAAGCCTTAAATATTATATCTATAATAATTCCCGAGTAATTTCTTTTAATAAAGAAAAAGAGATTTCTTTTATTACTAAAGTTTAATATATTTTCTTTTATATAATAATACTAATTCTTCTTTTTAAAAAAGTTTATTATTTTAGAACTAGTATAGAGAATTAAAGAATTAAGTTTTAGTAAAATTAATTTAAGAAATTTCAGTTATATTACTAATATATTTATATTTATATTTATTTATATAATTCTTTTATTTAAGCTAATCTAATATAAGACTTTTTTAAGCCCTTATTATAGCTAGAGACTTTAATAGTACTCTTATAAATCGAATTACTATACTAGTTATTTATATATTTATTATATTATATATTATAATATTATATATAAATATATAGAAATATTATTAGATTCAGAAAAATCTAAAAAAGAAATATTATATAACAGATATTTCTGTATTTTTTATAAATATATAGCTATTAAATAATATAGGCTTTTAGTAAATAAATTAAATTCTAATATCTTTTTATTACTAGTTTCTCTTTTTAGTTCTAAAGTCTTTTAGTTAACTAGACTATAAATATTAATAAATATTTGCTATATAATATCTTAATATAATATAAATTATAGCTTATAAATATTAGAATTAATTTTTTAAGTCTTATAAAAGAAATTAGTAAATTAGATAATTCTAGACTTTATATTAAAATATATTATTATTTTTAGCTTATTATATAATATTATATTACTAATAAAAACTCAAGCTTATAACTAAAACTTATTTTAAAAATTAAAATTAATACTAAAAAAATATAATAAAACGGATTTTATTTTAAATAGCTAATTTTAGAAAACTAGAAATTTATAAAAATTATATAATTCTAATAAAGAGAAATTAAAAAAGTAAATTACTAGATATATTAGAATCTTAAATATATTATAAAGCTTAATAAATTCTATCTAATAAGAAATTATTATCTAAAAAAGGCTAAATAAAAATATAATTTTCTAATAACTTTTTTATAACTAAAAAAGCTAGTATTTATATTAGATATATTAAAATTCATATATTAGAATTTAGTACTAAATATATAAAAGAATTTATATATTAGAATTTTTTAAGAATATTAAATTCTTGTATTTTTAAAAGAGATATTAAATTCTTATATAAAAAAGAAAAAAAGAAAATAGTCTAGTAATTTCATTATTTTATATCTAGCTATATAAGATACTAGTTTAAAGATCTATAATAATCTTAAGCTTAATTAGTTTTTATATCTTATAACTAAGATCTTTCTTATAAAAGCTAACTTACTAAAACTATTTAAGCTATAATACTTTAAAAAAGCTATAATATATTCGAACTCTAATAAATAAATAAATATAATAAAAAAGAAGTTCTTATTTCTATAAAAGAATAAAACCTAAATACTAGTTAATTATTTAATAAATTAATAAGTTCTATCTAGTAAATAGATATATAAATATAAATAGAAATAATATAGCTAGATTATTTAATATAAAGTCTAATAAATAATTCAGAGAGATTAGTAAAGAGAGGAAATTAATTTTAATAAGACCTTTATTATAATTATTAAACTAATAAGTTATAAGCTTATTTTTACTATTATAGCTATTTTTAATTAGAAGATTAATTAAATAGATATTAAAACTATATTTTTATATAAGAAAATAAAAGAAATAGTTTATATAAAATAGCTAACTAGCTTTAAAAACGAATTAGCTAAAGTCTATAAACTCAATTATATATTTTATAGTCTAAAATAAGTTCTTTAAATATAGTATAATATATTATTAGAATTCTTTTAATAGCTCGATTTTTAATTACTAAATACTAATACTAGTATTTTTTATAAAAAGAGAATTATTATTATTATTTATATAAATAATTTATTAATTACTAAAAAAGATTATAAAGAAATTAATATATTTAAATAAATCTTTAATAAATAATTTTAAATAAATAATTTTAAATAAGTAATCTCGAAGCTATTAATTTCTATTTAAATATAATAATTATATAAGACTATTTAAACTATATATTTTATTTTAAATAATAGTTTTATATTATAAAAGTATTCCGGAATTTTAATATAGAAAACTATAAACTAGCTTTAACTTTAATAGATCTAAACAGAAATAATCTTATTTTTATATTAAAGAGTTATTTAGCCTCTTTATTTGAAATCAAGAAATACTAGAAGCTAATTAGTTTACTTATATGTATTATATTTAGATTCTATTTTAATATTACTTTTATAATATTTATAATTAGTTAATTTATTATAAATATAATAGCTAAATATATTATTATAATAAAAAGAATTCTATAATACTTATAAAATATACTTATATATTAATTTATATAATATATTTTTTTTTCCGGATTTTTTATTTTCTTTACTTTTACTTAAATATTTTATTTACTTTTAAACTTTATTTAGTATATCTAATTTATTTAGCTTCAAGTTCTAGAACCTATTATAAATAGAACTAAAATAGGCTAAATAGCTTCTTTTAACCTTTCAGGTTCTAGTTTCTCTAATATTAATTTCTAGAACTTCGGAAAGCTTCTAAAAAGCTCTATAAAATAACTAGAGCTACTTACTAGCTCTTTACTAGCTCAGTTTAGTTAAAGGGCCTATTATATTTTTAATCTAACTATAAATTTTATATTTTTAGACAAACTTATAGTTTCTTTTTCTTAGTCTAATTAGCTAATATAGCTTATTTAAGCTATATTTAGAACAGGCTAAAATAAGGCTCTAATTCTAGTAAAGCTATTAATAAAAAGTACTAAAATTATAAAAACTATTACTAATTCCAGAATTAAGCTTTAAATAAAGTAAAAAGACTAATTTATAAAATTCGAGACTTAATAATTAAAGCTATTAGAATATTTATATTATATAACTAGTAATTCTATTTATTAAATCTAATAGAAATCTTTAGGAAATATATAGAATTCGAATATATTTAATATACTAGTATTTTACTAGTCTTTTAAGTTATAAACCTTAAAAATACTATTAAATAGATTAAAATCTAGTTAAGAACTCAAGCTAAACTAGC